AATATACCTTAGTAAATTTCAATAATAAACTATATAGTTTAGTGGCAAATAGGTGGGCCTATTAATGGTAGGTGCTTTTATAAATGACGAAAAAGTTATTTTATTTATATAAAAGGTGTCGAATAAAAATAAAAATAAGTAAATATTATCTGAGTCGTATTTTATACTATATTTGTACAATGATCCTTCCGCTTACTCAGTGATTTCGGTCTTTAGAGGCATTACAAAGAGCACAGTTCAGGTCAGAGAGGTCTCATTATAATGGACACTTTTCTACTAACGCTTTGTCGGACAGAACTAATGGTCCGAAGCTCAGTTGAAAGTTATTCCTTTCTAGATATATTTTATCATATGATTTAATTTACAGTTTAAATTATTTCAATCTCACTTCTTACTTCTACTAATATTATAAATGTGAATGTTTAGATGGATAGATGAAAAGATGTTTGATGGATCTCGATGAAATTGTAATACACTTAGAACATTGTCTGGAAGAACACATAATTAGTAAGTTTTTTCATACTGTAAAATATTACAAAATTAAACTTATAGATCCTTAAATGTTGCAGAAAAAAAAATCAGACAACACTGATTACAAGTATACCGTCATTTGAGATTACGATGCTTTTGTTTGGCTTCGGTTTTGCGAGATGTTGAATTGTAACAATTAATTACGCGTTCAATTCTAGTGACAGGTCGTTATTTAGACTCCTCGATTACGCCCAATGATTCAAGAATCATTAATCACTTGATGACTTCTTTGGCTTCTGTTTCAAATGATTTATGATATCATTATGTATTTTATATATAAAGTTTATTTGAAAATAAGTCTACTCTTGTGTTAAAAACCATAGCCTTGTATGCCAACAGTTCCATCTTTGTTGATTATTTGATCAATTGGATAGTAATTGTTTGTTTCTGAGACCAAAATTCAATAATACATCTTTATTTCTGTCATTACCTTTGACAAAATAGAGATAGCAATATATTTTAAACGGAGAATTTGATCTCAAAAATCCACGATAAGCTACGATGTTAACTAAAAATTAACCACAATAATTTTCAAGGATTGATGAGTTGATAATAATTTCAAATTAGCGTCTACACAAATTATTAAACAATATATTTGAATTTGTAATTTATATATCCTCTTAATGTTATTCAAATGAGACAGACAAATTGTCTGCTTTAATATTGTGAACACAACAGATTCGGTTTGCCAAGTCGACGTGTTGTCACAATTAATTAAGTTTTCATCAACAGATACAGACTATAAATTAAATTCATTGCGTTACGTATGCGATTCATTTCATTAAACATAACACGATGACAGATTCGTTTAAGCGGCATTTTATTACATTTAACGCGTAGCACTTCTACGAGTTACGTAGGCTTAGCGTAGCAAAAAAAATGTAACCTGCGACATTTTTATTTGGTTTACTAGCTATCGTCTGCGACTTCGTTCGCGCGAAATAAAAAAAAAACCTAATTAGTAGCCTGCGTGTTCTTCCAGACTATGTTTTAAATCTCTGCCAAATTTCAGATAAATATATGCAGCCGACTAGTTTCGAACCCATCGGGGGCACTTCATCAGGAGTGGTACTGGTATTATTTCGTGGACGCGGCCCGTCGCTGATGAAGGGCCCCCGACGGGCTCGAAACTAGTCGGTGTCGCCACCGGACGAATATACGTGAGCGTTTAGCCGTTTTTATATCAATTTATTATAATGTCTAACGAAAGTTTGAATAATTTAAATATATGGAAATACCTTGAAACAAACATCCATCTAAACATTCGCATTTATAATATTAGTAAGATTATAAAATTGCAAAATGAGTTGATAATATTTTATCTGCTTTCTATTCTTATTCTAAAATGTTTTCAAGGACTACTTATATCTACACTTAACTACCTTCGTAATTCCGCTTAATGCTGGTTAGGGGAAAATACCTTTTAGAACAAATTTTATTCATTAGACATTCGTTATCGTATTTAATCAAGGGTTTTAACAATGCTCTCCGGTTAGCTTTATTGTTTGAAGTGGATTTAATGGAAATGTTCTACTTAAGTGTTGAAGAAATTTAAATAACTTAGAAATCATGTAACTTAGTAAATGAGCTTTTATAAATATAATATTTTGGATATCATATGTGCTTTTGATTGATTACTAAAAAGACTTTCAAATCGATTTAAATGATTCCAATATAATTAAGATATTTTAATTTAATCAATTGCCATTTTTCTTGGATAAATAGTTTAGGTATTAAAACTTTCTTCAACTCTTATCCAAAACTTTTACGTGTTGTATTATTTGTATCGGGTCTTAGTGGATTTTAATAAAAGAAATGGAATTTTTATTATCGTTTGCTATTTACATATGAATCATAATCTTACTAATATTATAAATGCGGATGTTTAGATGGATGAACAGATGGATGGATACTTGTTTGAAGCTACCTCCACAACGGCTGAACGGATCTCGATTAAATTTGGCATACTTAGAGAACATAGCCTGGAAGAATACATAGGCTACTAATTATGTTTTTTTTTATTCCGACAGAGTCGCAGACGACTAGAAGCATATAATAGTAACAGATATTTCTTCGCGTATTTATTTCATTGAATTTATATGTGTAATAATTTATATACTGCCGGCCGTTTGCTTCGGATGTAGAGCAAAAGTTTATTGGTAGATAAATCTCTCGGAAGTGCCATTTGCACGAACATCGAGCGGTCAATGTTGCATGTGCAACATAGAAATTAGTGGCTAAAGTTAGTCGACCAACGTATAATGTTACGGTTACTTTAGTTGTTAATAGTAACTGCAGTTGTTAACTGGTTACATAGTTTTAGTGATTGCATGAGAAGTGGTTACCAAATAAATAAATTTAATAATTTAAAAGTTATAGAAAGAAGGTCAAAAGATTTTTAAATTACTCAACTACAACAAAGAGGATTTTGTATTTTTCAATCGTCATCAACAATTCGATCTTACCGAATAGAAATGTATTTAAAACTGTTTTTAAATTAATGTTTACTCGTATGTATAGACTGCTCGTAAATAAACAGTTGCAGTGTAATATTAATTAACAAAAATTAAAAGCATACAAAACAACTTCAATAGAAAAATGTGTTTACTATACTATACAAAAATCAAATGCAAAATGAAACAGCATAGGTATTCAAATTGATTTCGCGTGTAAACATTGTGGAAAGGTTAGTGCGGTCTCGTACAATTAATGTGCAGAATTTAATTTGACAAATTGAATTGCAAATATCGCGCCATTGAAATTGTTCGAGGGGAAATAACACTTTTGGGAATTGCAAAATATGCATGATTTAACTAATTTAATAACTAAAATAAATATCTGACTTTTATATCAATTGTGGTAGCTATTGTCATATAACTATGACGATTACTTCAAATATAATAAACTAACGTGTACTTAAAACTTAAGTTCTTACCGATTTAACACTAGCTTTTTTTTACTTAACAGTAAAGTGTAATGCAAGGCATGATGATTTCCAAGGTCACTGACCTTTTATAAAAATTTGAATGTTTCCGTCCATTTATTACGTGCGACCAGTTAAGGCACCGGAACAATACTTCAATGTCCATCAAACAATACATTGTCTGAGAACAATTGGGCCCACAGTACATATTAACCAGCGGAACCATTTGTCAAGGATGATCGCGGACCATTTCACTTAAACGGCCCCTGTCCAAATATATTGTTTGAACGATGTAACAATGTCATTGCTGTGAGAAGGGCCACAGGCGTTACAAACGTCACTCACAATTTACATGAATTTTAAGCGAATGTGTACGTTTTAACGATTTATTTTAGGGCTGTTTTTATTTTATATGTGTACTAGAATGTCTAAAACATAGATTCTCATATATGTCAAGTCTTATTCCTGACTTTTCCTAAATTTTATCTTGTAAAAATTTTTACGTAATAATTGTTTTATAATTTTAATGAAATTTCGTTTACTTTTTATAGAATTATGTAGCCTTATTAGCTTCTACATATTAGTGCAAAACTTCCAAATTATTCATAAGGGAAGATCGTGATAAAAGGAAGTACCAATATTAGGGTATATCAGTGAAATTAGTGTGGACCCCTAATCAGGACTCGCCGTGTTTCTCTTGGAATTGGGTCGCCCTCAGCAAACACTCTGTAGTGACGCTGCTCTTTTAACAGAGAAATTTTTAAGCTCTGTTTACACTGGGTGAAATTTCAGTACCCGTGTACACAGGGCACTTATTTCACTACGGACGGAAATTTTACGAGATAATTAAAATTAGATTCAAACATTTTCTATTAAATTCGTTAGTACATTTTGATTAGTAATGGTAGTACAGTTGCTACAAACATAACTGTTTCTAAACTAAGAAGACGATACATACATTATGATACTAAGACTTTGCAAGAAGATATCAAGAAAAGAAATGTTCAGTCCCACCCAAGTCCCATGCATCGGACTATATTATTTGTTTATGTAAAATTTCCAATTTGACAAGATTGGTTATGCCATTGGTGACATTATAAATTGACTATGTTTGCAATTTGATTGTAACTTACCAGTGATGTTAAGCACAACTCTCTCGCCGTGCGTTGCAACGATCCTCCACTCGCAGCGGTCGGGGCTAGCGGGACCCGCCTCAGCGCCCCAGCCCGGGGAGCTAAACCATCCTGAGTTGCCCAGGAACGTCTTGCCACATTCTGGTTGGACAGAGGTAACATTTAGTAGAGAAAGTATTATCTTAGAAATTGTGCGTAAAAATTTGATCTCTAATAACAATCTTTAAGGTAATAAAATTGTTTTAAATACTTACTTGCGCATTTGTACAACAAATTAGTTTGCGCAATATCACTAGCACTGAGCCTCACTCTCTGTCCGATCTCTGGTCTCTTCTTGCCGTGAACTTCTAGCGGCAGTATAGTATCCAAATAAGTTCCTTTACTGAACGTGTTCCTCGCATAATGCATTATAGAATCGTAGTCGTACGTCTGACCCAATGAATTTACTTCTTCGTATGTCAGCTTGTTGAAGTTATACTCTTGACCTGCGAATGATTATGTTAAGTAAAGATGTCATATGATGAATAATGGTAACGATTGAAATGAAATTATACATAGATTAATCTGAAGGACAAAAACATGTGCTAACCCCGTATAATATGAGATAAGGATAGGAATATGATGAACAATATTAAAATCCAATAAAAATTTATCATAATTGAGAAGGGAAGGAGAGATGATAAACATTGATTGGGTGGACGAAATGTTAAGTTGGATAAGGTCATCGTATGACGATGAAGAACAATAAAACAGTTATAAATTCCCATTAGGCATCTTTAAAACAATTCAGTCCGGCTAAGTTAGAGAATTCATGGAACCTTCGAAATTCAGATTCAGTCTTCAAATCTCGGTCTAAGATTAAACTTTATTGTGATTATGATAAAGTTCTGGGCTGTAGGACTGCTTTTATATCTTAGCAAGGGATTGTAAGCTTTATTCGAGTATGTTAAAGTGGAAATTTCATTATTAAATATACACTAGGACGGCAAATGGCTGGAGTATTGACATGCCCGGTTGGCATTTCAGTAATTTATGTCTCTCACTACGAACAACGACCTCGTTTGAGGTTTGCGTGTACCAAATTTCTGTATGTTTGTCATTCTGCTAATTAGTTATACATCACGTAAGGCATTCCTTTTATCTACCGTTTGATATTTCAAGGGGTTTCAAATTTTGAAAGGGTTCCTTTCAGTCATCTTAGATATTGTATTATAATTCAGATTAAAAGAGATACTTAGTTTGATCTATTGAAACGTAAATATAAACGAGGAAACAAACGATTTGATATTCAAACAGCTTCGTAAACCAGAAGGATGGGTGGAAGAACGAGGAGTAAAAACGTTTGAAAAGAGAAAATTCTTATGACAATTATATTCACAGATCCTATTTATTTTAAAAACTTTACAACTGCTTACACGCACTTCAATAGGATAATTGGCAGAAAACGTAATGCAGCATAAAACACGGCAATGACACAATTCATAACGTACTTGAACTCCCACCAAGCTGCAGTTAGTCAGTTCTTTATTGAACTATGATATAATAAGACAATGATATAACGAATTGAATTAGAAAACATTATAAACAAGCACCTTTTTATATTTATACACCAAGTATGATGTACAGTTTACTTCTACCTACATAAATTAAGTCATCGTTCTGGTAACATTTCTATAGAAATTTAGGCAAAGAAGCTTTGTTTTGTAATGTAGTGTAGTTACATTTCTCATTTATATTAATATCTCTATTTATATGGAGTGGAAGCCTACTTTTAATTTAAACAAGGTTTCTTTACAGTGGGAACCCTAAATGTTTATTTGTTCGTATATTTATAGCCGTAACAAACAAATCAAATAGCCGTATGATGCAATCAAACTTCAAAGAGCGTATAATAGACAGGAAGGGCTCGTTACTTCCGGACGGGCTCGCACCGCTGATTGTGTCACGTGACCGACTGCCATGTGGAGCTCTGTTGCAAGGACTCCTGTTACACCGTCTTGTAACATAGCATAAAATGCTTAATAGGTTAAGAAGACGACGTTCCGTGGTTCGAGCATGTTTTGAGGATCAGATGGACAAAAAAATGCAAAGCTGTGCCACAATCACGCAATGAACCGTTGTTTATTTTTCCTCAGGGTCATGGGCGTGAGCATTGTTGGTGTGAACTTATTATACTGCGATATTATACAGTCATACTAAAATATATTTTATTAAATGACAACGAAATAATAAGTAATTTTTACATCTATTAGTTCTTGTTACATGATGGTGTGAGACAGGTCGGCTCACTGTAAAGTGTTGCGGCAAGCGTTGTCGGGGATTGGGGTCAAGTAGCCGAGGAAGCTCGAGACGCGGGAGCCACGCATCTCACAAGCTATCACCTGATTTCACGATAAGCTGATACTTATACTTCTTAAGGAATTTATTATGTGCGATATAGAAAATATGGTTTCATCGTTTTTTAATCTATTGAAATAGTTTAAGATTTTAATGTTCTTCCCAAAAAGGTTACGGGATTGCAAATGTTATGGGTTTCATGTAACCTGATTGAAAATAATATTAACTGCTGTTTTGAAAGTAATTTAAAGTTATGTTTAGTACATTTTTTTATACTAAGTTTACATTTAGTAATAATTCACAACACGTTTTAACTTGTAAATATATTCATAGTAAATCAAGTGTCAATAGCCTAATGTTTAAGGATACGGATTTTCGATCACGAGGTCGGGGGTTTGAATCCCGCCATTCGACTATTGTCGTAAATCATATTCTAGCATAAGCCTAGAGCTTAGTTGGAATGGTAAAAGAAATATTATTAAATTTACAAAAAAATCTGCTAATATTTTAAATACAAAAAAAAGTAAATGTATTCTAAAAGTGATAATTTTGATGCATTTCAAATAACCTTGTATTGATGTCATCAAAACCAATTTCTGAATTTGAATTAACGTAATGTGGGCAATTGAATTTGAAGGGTAATCGCGTGATGCGGTGATCTGCAGCAGCTAAGAGGGGAATTGACTGCGCACGCGATAGTCGTTTAAATAATTTGAACCGAAATTGCGCGGAATTCGGTCGGAATCCGCTCAATTTTCGTAATGACCCCTATCATTAAGGATTCGACTTTATCAACGGACGGCTTATAGCTCTTAATTTATTTTTAGGTCATGCCATTATATTTTATCTTGCCTTTCTTGTTTCACTGACACGAGTCCGTTGTCTTAATAGCAGGTTATCTTTAGACGCAGACAATTACATATGCTGCGCTTTTATCGACATAAATCAAAGCTTAATGATAGGCAGCAAATACACGCCTAATTAGACCTTTTATTTAAACCTCAATCCTAAGCCTCAATCTATCTAAACCAACCATGTCCGAGTCGAGCACCCATAAATTGGATAGGATTACCTATATGTTTATAAAAATGAACATAATAATAAAAGTGTCATAGATCGATCGTTGTGAGGTCGATATTTACCGCTAAGAATATTGTCCCTGATGATCTGGACGTGATTGTCTCTATCAGGGCGCGTGTGCTCGTGCCAGAAGCCCACCACGTGGCCCAGTTCGTGCACCACGATGCCGAACTTGTCGCAATTCTTGCCGATAGATATTGCCTGCGCGCCACTACCGCGCTTGCCGACGAAAGAACAGCATCTGTAGAAGACTTTCATTATGAATTCTACCATCTACTTAAAGTTGTTCTCAAAAAAACGCAAGACAAGTTCTATTGAAAGCGACCCATGGGTTTCTGACACCAAAATCCCCGTTTAAAATATATTGTTACCTTTATTTTGCCAAAGGTAATGAGAAAGATGACAATATGTTTTCCACAGACATTTTAGAGTCAGAAATTTACGGTACATCGTTAGGTAAAAGTCCCCAAAGATAGATAGAAGTTATATCACTTATCTTCTAAAGTGTAAAAGACGTTAACTATACACTCACCCACAAGGTCTCTCAGTGAATATAATATAATCTTTGTGTAGACTGGGATCTCGCTCAACAAATTTAACGCAGGTGAAATTCTCCCAGTGTCGCATGGCCTGTTTGAAAAGAGATTTGTGGGCACCGCTAAAATTGCCGTCTATTTCATACGGGATCACACCATTCTCCCAGATCCTCTCTTTACGATTTGTTGCAGCTCTCGGGGTACGATGGCGACGTCTTGGTTCCTGTATGATGTAAAATGTACTTTTTGAACAGGATTTTTATTTTTAATGAAAATTACAATGCTATATAAATAAAAAATGTGTTTTATTTACCATAACTTACACAACCTTTCATTTCTCTTTGTGTGCGAATATGTGACTGGTAAATTGACCAAGATGAAGTGTTTAAAGTCTTCTATTTCCATTATTTATTAAAAGAAAAACGTACCTCCGTATGATTAAAAAACTGACTCTCCATTGCCTCTAAGTCTTCGTCGGAGTCACGAAAAAACCAATCTATAAATTGTTGCGTCTCAATTGAAGTTCTATTCTGTTTAGGCGGCGGCTGTACTTCGAACTTCTCTTCAAATTCATGTTCCGGTATCACCTGTTTGTATCTTGTTTCCTTTTCGTCGTACTTTTTTTGGTGTCGAAAAAACTTTTTTCTAGCGTGATGTGATTCGCTCTGATTCTCATCAGATATTTTGATGGTATTTTGACCTGTTCTTTCGCCCGATTGGATATTTCTAAGTCTATAAAAATATTATAATTAGTTTACTAGTATTTTGTCATGTTTCAAATTAAATTACCTTAAGTTTACTTTATAATGAGAAAAAATATCTCGAGGTTTCGAATTATAATCTAGTATGGATTAAAGAAAATGTTATCGGAGGGATTTCTTAATCTTTAATTAAAGATGCTGTAAAATTTACCAGCTAAATATTTTTTTTACGAAGTTAAAAACCTTTGAGAAGACTAGAATTGTAATAGAGTTAAAATGGTAATCAGTCTTACCGTCTTCCGTTGCCATGGCGACGTCTTCTCCGACGTCTGCGTATTTCACTTTCATCTAATAAACTTTGCAGACTTTCAGTAGGTTTTAGCAAATCATTCGCTTCATACACTTTTTCATACAAACCTTTGATGGTCTTATTGACAATTACTTTCTCTTTATTATCTTCCTCTTGTTCATTAGATGGAATAAATCCATTAGTGGGTGCGGGTGCTATAGTAATATTTTCTGGTAAATCTTTGATTTTAATATTATTATTAGAATCTCCTGTTATTTCTCGACTATTACTTTGTATTTTATTTGTTACTTCGTCCATTTTATTTGATAGATTCGATAATTGAATATTAGGAAAAAAGTCTTCTAGGTTTAAAATATTATCTGTCGATATATTAACGACTAGAACTCCGTCTTGTTCTAAACTTTCAGATTCAGTGAGGTTATCAACAACGGATTGATTTGAGGGATTCAATTTATTTTGGTAATTAAAACTTGTATAATTATCTAACATTTCAGGAGGAAGTATTTTACCGTTCTTTATTAAGAGTGCTTTATCTAGTCCAGCTGGTAGAACCTGGAAGGAAAAAACTTTCTAAATGCTCTTCAATATACCAGATTTCAGTTCTAACGATTGTCCATAGTCTCAATGCAACAAATAAAAAAAAATACTAGACAAAGTGTCTAATATATTAACTAGTTTCTTTGGAAAATACTTACTTTTGTATGTAAAGAAGCATCGTTATACTTTTTTGGTTTCTCTTGCATTAAAGGAATTGGTTGTTTAGTTCTTTTTCTCAAAATATCTGGTAAGCCTTCCTCTTCCACCTGTAATCCTTCTAGCAGTACTTCTTTCTTGAGTCTTTCTACTTCTTCTTGTAAAGATTTATTTATTTTGGACGTAGATGGGGCAGTGTTGGTTGGCTTGTAGTAATCAGAGTCAGATATTGCTATGTCGCCTTGGAAGTTACCTGTAACAAAAAAAATGAACTGAAAGAAGCGCTAATAGCCTTATGGTTAAGGGGGATATCTTACCCACCATTCAACTATGTCTTAGCACAAGCATAGACCTTAGTTAGAATGGTACAAGAAATATTAGGAAATTTAGAAAAAAAACCTTTCGAAAAAAAATCAAAATCGGAGCACCATTTGCGGAGTTACGCGGTAACATACAAAAAAAATACGGACGAATTGATAACCTGCTTCTTTTGAAGTCGGTTAAAAATCTGTTACTATTAAAAAAAAACTAATTTGGTTTTTACGAACATCTAATTTAGTTTTATCAGTTTCGTCTTGTTTAAATAAGATCCCTTTAACACAATGATTTCCTAAAAGTTTCTACTAATACTAATACAAGTTTAGGGCTAAATATAGTAGCCACATTATTCCCCTGACTATTTTCCTAGTACCACAATATATGGTCGATAGATACCGGTCGTTAGTGGTGCGTACATCTGCCGCGACCATAAAACGTTACGAGCGGGCATGTTCGCCGCAGCTGCGGTCCAACGCTCGCTGCCAATTAATTAATCGTCGGGGCGCGCGTACACGACCGGCATTGGACACGTCGGACACAACCGCCCACGGATACATGAATATTCATATTGAGGCAACAATTAATTCTTACACATTCAATATAGAATTTTATTTATAACACAATTTTTATCTAAATTCCTCAATAATATTAATTTGGACAGTTTTCGTCCATCAATTTATACGCAAATAAAAAAAGACGTTCCTAATAACATATATTTAAAAAAAAAATACAAATTTTGCCCTTATTTCTAAACACAACAAAGGAGTAACATTGTGACATTAATTAAGTAGGTTAATAGAAGAATAGAACGTCGGTGGCTCAGGGGTTAAGCACTTGACTTGCAATCCGCAGGTCCTGGGTTCGAATGCCGCTATGTACCAATGTGTTTTTCGATTTGCGATTTACATATGTACATTTATCCGACGTTCTTACGGTGAAGGAAAACATCGTGATGCAATCTGAGAAGAAATTCAAAAGATATGTATGAAGTCAACCAACCCGCACTTAGCCAGCGTGGTTGACTATGGCCTAATCACCCTCAACTTAGGGTAGGCTCTGAATTCCTCGGTGGGGACGGGGTAGGTAGTGTGAGCTGATGATGATGATGAATAGAAGAATCATGTCTTTTTAAGTAACGCCAGGTATAGTATTAAGATAATTTATATTAATTACAAAACAAATCAATACTTATATGATAAATGGTTTCCTTCCAAATTATATTACATCCAAACATAATTCATGAACCGGATCTACACAATCAAATTATCCTTCAATATGGAAGTTATGTTGAGTCTATGTTATCTTGTGAATTACGAACCTCAGAAGCCGGGGTTTGGTTGTGAACGGCGAGAGATTAATCTGGTTTGGAATCGAATTATGCAATTAATCTTATATCTTTAAATGAGCAATTCTTCGTCATTTCGTCATTCAATTCGTCATTCATTTGTCATCCAGATTATGATATTATTAATTGATAATTGAAACTAGAATCTTAATCCACACAAATTAGAGATAAAATAAACAATTTAAGCATCAGTTTTTGTAGTAATGAATATGTCGAGATTATGACTTCGTGTAAAGGTAAACAAGATTTGTTCTTCCCACTTGACAACTTGGATAATAAATAAATAAAATAATCGTCTTTTTTTAAACTAAGAAAAGAATATGGTTTTGTATAGGTGTTTCCGGATAATCACAGTTAATGCCTATCCTCTCCAACTTATCGTACTGAAGAATCTTGTAAGTTATCGAGTTATATTGACTCATTAAAGCTAACACTTTTCTCTTTATTTGTACATCTTATAGATAAAATTCTCGTATCACAATTTCCGTTCCCATACTCCTCCGAAACGACTTGACCGATTCTCATGAAATTTTATGAGCATATTGAGTAGGTCTGAGAATCGGCCAACATATATTTTTAATCCCGCGCGGACGGAGTCGCGGGCGGTAGCTAGTTTTTAATAAAAATTAAATGTATTGATATATTAATCGTGAGTTTCTGAACCCAAAATTCCCGTTTAAAACATGTTATCTGTCGATGTGTTTAATACAGAGCTTTGAGTCTCAGAAACCCACGGTTATAGTAATTTTATGTGTGTTCAAATGACATCGCCAAACGTTCACGACTCATCTGTGAGATGAGTGTTCACATTTATACGAATTGAACATTTGACAAGCGCTAAATTGCTGACGCCTACGCGTCTAGTGATGTGCGTTGTAGGTACATCTTTCATTTGGAATGTTACTAGCCAGTCAGTTAAATTGTAAATAGAATTGGTTAATTGGTTGTTGGTTTCATGCGTTTATTGGAACTGAAGTGTGGTATTAATTAGTAAGTGCGACCACATCGATTGAAGTTGTGGTTTTCGGTGTTGCTTTATTTGTCCTGTGCTATTACAATGGGCAAAATAAACTGGATAAATAATATTTTTTTTTACGTTTTATTAACTATCCAAAAAACCTTATTTTTGTTAACTTCAATCTATGTAGGTACGCATTTTCTTCGACTCATATCATATGAACTTCTTTTAAAATAGTACCTAAATAGAAAGCGAAATACTAATCATAACACTCACTGAAAGGAATACCTAATAGAATTTGAAGTTACTATTGATTCCTTTAAAAAAATTCTAAGACGAGAACATTACCCAAACGTTATTTCGTTTTCGACATACATCGATCTCCGTCGATAATATTCTATCGATAAGAGATGATGTACATCACTAACCCAGTCCATCACTTAGAGCACATCGTTATGCATTGTATAATTCAATGAGCCGCCGCATTGGCCGCTGCAATCTCGCTGCAATCGATTTGCGCGCCGCATTTTGCATGCCCGATGCGTTCCCTGACCGGGATGACTGGACACTTGGTCACATTTCATTTTGATGACCATTTTATAATTTGATGAATGAATTTCAATTGTCTTTATGTTCATTGTGACGTTAAACCTAATTAGCTCTTACTGATGTCATAAATGCCATTGTATGGATGGATGGATATCCATGCATCCATCCATATTAGAAGGTATCTCCGGAACTGCTCAACGGATCTTGATGAAATTTGGCATAGATGTAGAACATAGTCTGGAAGAACGCATAGGCTACTAATTAAGTGTTAAAAAGAGGATAAATAAATTATAATTTATGTTCGTAAATTGTGTTATGTTCATTAAGTAATAGCAAAAAGCGATGCTTTAAGCTTGGATAAATCATTACTAACATAAATGAATTTATGTTTTGACTAAAAGATAATTCTATCTCGACCTTTTTCACTTTGAGTCAATCGTATTAACTAGAAATAGTTGAAAATCTACGATTTCTCTCGACTATTGACGTTTTTACTATTTGCTGTAAAACTATAAAACGAATGTAAAACAAGTCTGCACTAATCTAACCTGTGTCTGACGGGACAATTTATTTAAAGCCTTCGTTCTTTCCCTCGCAATATCACCTGCGTACCGACCCGGAAAGCCTTACACGGCTGTACTTGACAGCGGAAAAAATCTAATAAACCAACCTATAAAACTAGGTCCGACAAAATTGCTAGAGGACATTGGTATTTTATTATTTGATATATTTACGACTTATAATTTTCTCGGTTTATGAAACAAAATTTCTAAGGGTAGTCAAGTCTCGGTTGGCGTATCATTTTTTTATATCATAAGGCGGCAAACGAGCGAGCGGCCACCTGAAATCGCTGATATAGCAATACCGTTGCCCATAGACATACGCAATTGCATATGCGTTGCCTACCTTTAAT